TGTGAGGTGGGTTTCGAAGGTGGCGAGCGAGAGGGCGAGACGGAGGGACTGTGGGATGGAGTTCCAGAGGGTGGGTGCAGAGTGGCGGAAGGCCCGCTTGCCAATAGTGGGGCGAGCAAGGTGGGGGTGTGAAGCAGGCCAGAGCCCACTGAGCACTGAGTGCAGGGAGCGAACAGAGTAGGGCGTTGGGAGGTTGGAGAGGCAGGGGGGAGCAAGACCATGGAGGGCTTTGAAGGTGAGGACCAGGATCTTGAACTGTATCCTCTGTGTGATGGGAAGCCAGTGTAATTGGGCAAGAATGTGGGTGATAGGGTCATGGAGCCTGGTGCAGGAGAGGACATGGGTTGCAGAGTTCTGGATGATCTGCAGCCTGTGGAGAGAGGAGTTGGGGAGACCGACAAGCAGTGAGTTTGCATAGTCGAGCCTCGATGTAATGAAGGTGTGTATGAGGGGTTCAGCGGACTGTGGTGTGAGACAGTGGCGGAGCTGGGCGACGTTGCAGAGGTGGGGGAAGGCAGAGCGGGTCATGGCACAGATGTGGGATAGAAAGGATAGTTGAGGGTCAATAATGTGGAAGTTGACCCCATGTCTGCCGATGACGTCACCAAGAAGGTGCATATAGATGTTGAAGAAGAGGGGACCAAGGACAGAGCCCTGAAGAACGACGTACGAGACGGTCCCGGGGCTAGAGGAGAAGCCGTTTGAGGAGATGAAGTGCAGGCGGTGTGAGAGGAACGATCTGAACCAATTAAGGACAGCGCCGTGAAGGTTGAGGTGAGAGGAGAGGCGGTGGTTGAGGATAGAGTGGTCGACGGTGTCGAAAGCAGCAGAGAGGTTAAGGACGATGAGGATGCAGAGGGAACCCTGGTCCCAGATGGACAGAATATCATTTGTCACTTTGACCAGGGCGGTTTCTGTGCTGTGGGCGGCATGGAAGCCCGATTGGAGGGGTTTGAGAAGGGAATGGCGGGAGAGGAAGGAGCAAAGCTGAGAAGCAACAACTCGTTCCAGGACCTTGGAGAGGAAGGGGTGGTTGGAGATGGGGCAGTAGTTAGAGAGTAGAGAAGGGTCCAGAGAGAGTTTTTTAAGGATAGGAATGATGATAGCGGTTTTTAAAGGGGTGGAAACAGTACCAGAGGACACGGGGAGGTTAACGATGTCAATGAGTAGAGGGGCAAGGAGGTGGAGCTGGGAGATAAGGAGAGGGGTAGGGATGGGGTCGAGGGAGCAGGTGGTGGGTTTCATACGGGTTATGGTTGTGATGAGAAAGGAGGGGGAGACAGGTTCAAAGGTGTGGAGGAAGGGGTGGGTAGGGGCTGGGGTGGGAGGAGAAGATGGGAAGGGGGTAGTAGTTGCAGTGGCAGAGGCAGCTGAGCGGATTCCTTCGATTTTGGATTCGAGGAAGTACAGCATCGCCTCGCAATTGGCATTTGAGGTGAGGATGGGTGAGGCATGAGAAGATGGGCGGAGGAGTCGGTTCACTTGTCTTGTCTTGGAGTAGAATTAGCAGATTTAGCGGATTTAGCAATTGAATACCACTACATCTCTTTCTCTCTCTCTCTTTCTCTCTAGCCTATGGTAAGATACCTATCCTTGTTACCATCTGATACAAAAAATAATTCTGCCCTTGAATAAAAAGTTCCCATGGAATAAACAGACTAAGATTCAGTAAAATTGATTCAGCGTCTCTAGGAAATAATTTGGGACACGTGACAATGTCGTTAGGAAGAGTGGAATGTAAAGCAAATATGCAACTCTCCTCCCCAGTTTTTATAAATGCTGAAAAGGGGCAAAAATAGATGGAATTCTTACTAAACCATTAATAATCCAGGAACTATTCATTACATGAAATATCACAGACACTACTTGTGCATCATCCATCATATAATTGGGAAAAGCCAAGGTTGTTTCTTCTCTCCAGTTTGCTCCCTTTCTCTCCTATACTAAATGATTGCGGTGTTGTGGTTACCTTTCAATAGCCATTCTTCTGGTGGTATCCTGGTCAGGGAGCGTCAATTGGCTGGTTGACCATGGGATGTAATACCACGGGTGAGTTTTCATCAGGTATGACATGCCAAGGCAGGGTTGTGCTGGGCAGAGGGAATCAGATTAAGACAGGATTGTGCTGGGCAGAGGTCCTCATGGTCAGACTGCCTGCCAATCCTCAGCGTAGTTTATAATAATAAGAAGAATAATCCTTGCATTTGATATAGCACCTTATCATGTCATTGAGATGTCTCAAAGTGATTCACAGAATATATTGTAAAGTGAATTGACTGTATTTTGTAGGCAAAACATGGGAGCCAATTGCACACAGCAGTGTCTGACAAACAGTCATTGATTGTGACCAAATTATTACTTTTTTTGAACGGATTGTTACGCCCAGAAGGCGATCTGCCAATCAACTAACAACTGGGTTCCTCCTTACTGCTAGGTAAGTAGAGATGTGTGGAGTAAGGAAACTTGCCTAAGGTTTCGCCCTGCCCGGGAATCGAACCCGTGTCCTCTCGCTTGCGAGGCGAGTGCGCTAACGACTACAGGATTCCACAGTTTCACACGTGAAACACTTGAAGAAGTTATTGTATCACAAGATCAGCCTCGAGCCCTCAAACGAGGGGGGAAGACACTGAAGAGCTACTCCATTTGATGGGTTAACAGTGCAGCTAACAATTTACCACAGAAATGCAGGAAAATGGATAGTCAGTAGCTTTGTATAATTACCATGTATCACCAGCCAAAATAGGCTTAATGGTGGGGATAAATCCACCCAGTGTCTTTCCAGGTCACGGTTTAGATGCTGTAGGGACTGAAACATACTCTGACCACTTCAGTTCTCTCCTGGCACCCGTCACTATGGTCCTGATCCTCTGAGGAGCCTGAGCTGACTTGTGTGATTACACACACACAAACGGAAAGTATTTCTAAAAATATTTTGTCGCTAATTTTTCGCCAATTTTCTCCTCTCCGAAAGGCATTTTCACTCCTTTTTTCTCCTTCTACTGGAGTGTAATTCATTCCTTTAGCTCGCCCAAGACATTTATGTATAAGTCTCTGCAGTAAGAGGTGGGCAATCTCACCGATCTTAATGGCTGAGACTTATTTTGATCCTTACCTGACTACGAACACAAACACACACACACACACACTGCTTTTCTCCTCCCTAAGAAAGTCCTGAGTCCAATTATAGCCCCAAGTCTTGTTGCTCTTCCTGAGATCAGCTACTGATTCAATCTCTCACATAGTCTAAGATGACATTCCAATGCAATGCTGGGGGAGCGCTGCGATGGTAGACGTGCCGTACTTTGGGTAAGACATTAAACTTTGGGTGAGGTCCCTCTGCCTGTTCAGGTGGATGTTAAAGATCCTGCGGCGCTATTCGAAAAGAAAAGGGAGTTTCTCTCTCCCAGTGTCCTGGCCACCAATCCCCCAAATAAAACCGGTTACTCTCACTCCTGTGGCTGTTTGTGGGACACTGCTTTGCTGCTGTGTTTTGCTCACAAAATACACAGTCAAAAAAACATTTTATAGTAAATTCTTTGAAGTGCTTTGAGACGCCTTGATGACGTGGAAGGTGCTATATCAAATGCAACTATTATTATTATTATTATTATTATTATTAAGCCCTGCATCAGAACTTAAGCTCCCAGTCTAAGCTGACACTTTAAGCGCAATACTGGTGGAGTGCTACATTTTCAGCGGTGATGTCTTTTAAGCCAAGGTTCAGGAGAACGCTAAAGAATCTGCGGTGCTATCAAAAAGAGAAGGGATTCTTATGTTATCTTTGGTGATAGTTCATTACTGTGAGACAGGCACTGTAATATCCTTTGATCTTCAGATGCCCTCTCACCCAAATTCAACCCCAAAATTCACTGCCAATCCGCATGTCCTCTTAACCGCATCAGGCCTCGGCGTGCAATGTCAGCAAAGAGCTTTAGTCAGGCGCAGGTTATCAAGTATAGTTTACTCAAGCTGGCCGTGTTTTGGTAAAGTACCTATTGATACAGGCAATCAGTGTACACTTAGCACTGATGCTTATCAGTAATGGGGAAGTCTGATTCAGGTAAGTGCAGCATTAGAGAGAGACACACACACACACAGTTAGAGAGAAAGGCACACACACAGTTATTGAAGCCAACACACAAACACACAGTTAGAGAGACAGACACACACACACACACACACAGGCAGACACCTGATATCATATCTAAATTGGAACCGGTCCCAATCCTCTGCGATCTGGTACAGTCCTCTGCACCGTATGTATATGCATGTGATTTGCTATTATGCACTTGGTTGTCAGTGCACTGCACTGTCAAACCAACCACTCTTCATACACACACTCACACACAAATGCACACAGTCTGTATCCAGTGTGCCATCAGAAATTGTCAGTTTATAAGACAGCCCTCCTCTCCCCTATATTATCATTAAAACCCTGGGGCTGATAATACACTGAAAAGTGGTGTGGAGGCTGCCTGCAGTTTCTATCTGTGACTCTCTTTGCAAAACAAATCAATAAAGCTCAGGTTGGCATTAATTTACTCAGTTGCTGCACTGTGCGACCGAACTCTTATATTTTCTGTGCCTTTTTTTTACACACACACTCACTGTGGAATGTCCAGGCATCTGGGAAAGCTTGGAAGAAACAGAGGACGTGGTCAGGGTAACGTGTACCTGGTGAGGAGGACACGTCGAGCTCACAGCAACAGGCGAAGAGGGGTTTGTTTTTCCAATTATTTTTTTTTTTTTAAAAATGGTTCATGTAAACTTTTGCAACTAAAATTCGTTAAATCAGAGGTTGCAAAAAAGGAAGGGCTGTTCAATGGCTTTAAGCATCCAGGGTCAGTGGCTAGTGAGGGAGAGATGGTGACTGGGTCTGATGCACGTCGGTTTCAGTCAAACCTCTCTCGTTGACAAAGCTGTAAATGTGTTTAAAAAGTTGGGAGGGAGTGAGACACATTTTTGCAATTCAGCTTATGTCAAAACACTGCGACTTGTACCTTCACTGTGAAGTCTCCTCCTGCTGCTGCTGCTGCTAATGCTGCTGCTAAATGCTGCTGTTGTTGCAGCTGCTCCTGAGTGGATTTGGAAGGAAAAAGCACACGAAAAAAACACACAGAGAGAGAGAGAGAGAGAGAGGGGACTGGAAAGCAAATAGAATAAAATAGGACACACAGCGTTGTTCAAACTGTGTGACCAGGTGTAACTCTTACCTGCTCTGTTGAGGACACTGCATGTAAAATGCACAGCATCAGCCAAACCAAAGCTCCAAAAATCATCCTGAAACTAGCAAAAAGGATGATTTTCCCCTCTCCAAAATCGACCAGGCAGATTTTTTTGTTTTTTTTTTAAACCCTCCTTCCTTCCTTCCTTCCTTCCTTCCCCTCTCTCCTTTGTCGTCGTTGTTGTTGTTGTTGTTGTTAATTTGAATTGACACCACTTTTGTGTCGATATCACAAACTTTTTTTTTTGAAGGGGGCAGAAAGTTTGGAAAAGTTCCCCTCCACCCCCTCCCCACCCTCCCCTCCCCTCCCCAAATGTATTGAAAAGTTTCGAGTTTGAATTCTCCCCAAAGTTTCCAGGCTTTTTTTTTACATATTATGCATATATATATTTTTAAGAAAAAAAAAAAAAAATTCTTCTGAGATGAGTTTGTAGAGACCCGATCCAGGGATATTTATCCTGTGTCCTTGCAAATTCTTGGATTAGTTTAGAAGCTGTGTGTGTGTGTGTGTGTGATGTGATTGATAACTGGCTGGGAAAAGAGGCAGGGGTGTTGTGGATAGGGGAGGGGGAGAAAGGAATTGTGTGACGCTTGGATCTGGCTGTCATTTCTGTTGCTGTGAAGTAGGAAAGATGCCAAATCGCCCTCAGCATCCCTGACTTTCCATTCTATTTAGTCTGTCTCTACTTTGATGTATCCCCTGGTAAATAACACACTCGCCATTCCTCCCCCTCAGGCACCCAGGCTATGAAGTTCCTAATTATTACCCCTTTACCAAATCGTGCTTTATTTCACCTTCCGCAAGAAACTGCTCTTTTTGTAAACCGCCCAGCGTCTTTTTAATTGCCTTAATTTTAAATCCCTCCGATAAGAAACGACGATAATTTAGTCGCTCGATCGGCCGCTGTTTGCGGGACGCTGCTGGGCGCAAGTGGCTGCCGCGTTGCGCCCGCAGCGTGTGCGGTCAATTCGTTTCACGGTATATCCTGTGAGGCGCTTTGTGACGTCTCACGGAGGTGAAAAGGCGCTGCATCAACTGCAAGGATTATTATTAAGAATTATTATCACGGTCACCTCCCTCCTCCCCCAAGCTCGGCGTCAGGCTCTGCCATTGATAAGCGCTCTGAGACACTGCCCAGTGTGAAAGGCTCTATTGTTGTTTGATAGCCTCTCAACACCAATGTGTTCCAGATTTCTTGCAGTCTGGCAGTGAAGTAGTTAAAACAATCTTCCACAAGATCATCAAAGAGGTTATTGATGAAGAAACCCATTTTTGTTCCATTTGATCTCATTCTTTCTGAATACGTATTATTATTACTAAGTATTAATATCATTATAATAATTATTATTCTACTTCACCTTACCAGTCTTTCCTTATAAGTAAATATTCAGCTGTTTCTTGAATGAGTCTAATGCCCTGACCACCCTTCCTGGTAACCTGTTTCAAGTGTTAATTAACCTCTTTATAGAGATCTACTTCCTAATGTCTGTCCTGAAATTACTTTTTGCAACCCTGAACCTGTGACTTCTTGGTCTGCTAATTTGACATTACCAGATAATAATAATCCTTATTTAATAATAGTAATCCTTCCATTAGGATTAATGCAAGGATTATTATCATTCATAATAATGGGTCATCTCAGTAATAATTAATTATTAATTAATAATACATATTTTTTCACTGTGAAGGGAATTGAGGCATTGTCACCCCAGTGGGTATGAACTATCTCTAGCATCTCATGAATCAGACACCACATCAGCATCTCACTACAAAAAGTGGTAAAAGGGAGAAAAGGGAAAACAGCAATAGAGATTTTTGGATTTTGGAGTACAAATACTAATAATAATCCTGCATTCGATACAGCACCTTAATATGTTGTTGAGACATCTCAAAGCGCTTTACAGGATATACTGTAAAGTGTATGACGTATTTTATGGGAGAAATCGGCAGCAAATTGCACAGAGCAATGTTCAACAACATGGAGTGAGTGACCAATTTCATTTGGGAGATTGTTGGATAGGACACCAGGAGAGAGAAACTTTCTTCTCTTTACGAATAGTGCCATAGGATCTTTAACAGCCACCTGAATAGGCAGATGGGATCTCGGTTTAATGTCTCATCTGAAGAATGGCACCTCTGACAATGCAACACACCCCAGCACTGCATTGGAGTGTCAGTTTAGGCTATGTGATTCCAAGTCCCAACGTGGGGCTTGAACCCACAACCTTCTGACTCAGTGATGAGAGCGCTGCCGTTGCGTCAGGCTGACAAATGAAGGAATTCCTAGCCAACAATCCCAAACTGCAACTATTTCAGAGGGAGCAAAAGTTTAGCTACTATTCCTTCCGGGCTTCACTGAACAACAGCAACAACAATATCGAATTGCATTTACATGCCTTTTGCCTTTCATGTCGGGAGGACATCCCATGGTGCTGAACAGTGAAGGGTTTGAAACTGAGCTGGGGTTTGGAATCAAGTACGGTGGAGGGCAAGAGGAGTGGAGGTGGGAGGGTGACCAAAGGTGCGGTCAAAGAGGAAAGTCTTGAGATGGTCCTTGAAGAAGGGACTGAAGGGGAGGAGACAGAAGGGCTAATGGAAGGAGTTCCAAGGAGGGTGGGGGTGCAGAAAGGCTGATTACCCAACCCCATCTTTGTAAATTGCTCAGAGAAATTAACCTATGTACAGATGGTTGCTAAGGTGGGCTTTAAAGATGGAAGTGGCACAAGGCAGAGAAACAGAGTTAGGTGCCATCCATGCACATTTGGAAGTTGACCCCATGCCAGCAGATGATGTGGAACAAGTAGATTGTGAAAAGGGGAGGGACTGAGGCAAGAGCCCTGAGGAACACCGCACCTATCAGTTTGGCTCAGTGGTAGCACTCTGTCCTCTGAGTCAGAAAGTTGTGTCTTTAAATCGCAGGTCGGAATTTGAAATCACATTGTCTAAGATGTCACTCCAATGCAGCACTGGGGAGTGTTGCATTGTCGGAGGTGCCATCCTTTGGATGAGATGTTAAACCGAGGTCCTGTCTGTCCGTTCGGGTAGATGTTAAAGATCGCAGAGTACTATTTGAAAAGAGAAGGGAGTTTCTCTCTCCCAGTAGACCTGGCCAACAAACCCCAAATAAAATTGGCCACTCAATTCATGGTTGTTTGTGGGACACTGCCATGTGTGATTGTGTTGCTGCATTCGCCTACAAATACACAGTCACTTAATTTCACAGCGAATCTAGTGAAGTGCTTTGAGACGTCATTCCAACAGGATAAGGTGCGATACTAAATGCAAGGATTATTATCAACAGTGAAGGCAGGAAAGATCCTGACAAGGGAGATGGTGACGGAGGATAGAGTAGTTGATGGATTCGAAGATGACAGAGGTTGACGTATAGCTAGACATACTTGGCCACAGAGCTGCGCCAAGAATGCTGCCAGAATACCTTTGATCGCAATCGGACTAGGTAAGAAATGGTTAAAAGTGGTGCCGGGTTCCATGTCCCCTCAAAAAGGACTTGGCCCAGTTCCTGGGTCACATGGTCCTATGATTTTCTTTTAATCAAAATCCCCAGTAACTAGATTTCTGTTGTAGGTTTTCAGAATGAGAGATTACACCTTCCGAGGTTACACTGACACCTTCTGGTTCCAGCCCTGGCATTGACTAACTTCAGGGGAATTCTCTGTGTCAAGTGAAACTATGAGCAGGTCTTTCACTGTGTAGAATAAAAATTATCAACTGAAATCACATCCCCAACATACACACACAAAAACCTCTCTAATGGGTCTACAATTTATCCCCTTTCATCCTTTAAACTTTAGATGGTCAGCCGGGAGTCTAACACATGCAGAAACTCATCACTGTGCTTAAGATTATCCAAATCAAACTGAGAACTCCAAGAGTGTGCGTTGGGGTTAATTGCTGGCGTTTGTGCAAATCAATGTCCCATAAACAGCCATGAAGTGAATGACCCAATTTTATTTGAGGATTTGTTGGGCAGGACACTGGGAGAGAGAAACTCCCTTCTCTTTTCAAATAGTGCCATGGGATCTTTAACATCCACCTGAACAGGCAAACGGGACCTCAGTTTAATATCTCATCCAAAGGACGGCTTCTATAATAATAATAATCCTTGCATTTGATATAGCATCTTATCTCATCTTCTTGACATCTCAAAGCGCTTCACAGAATACACTGTAAAGTGAGTTGACTATATATTTTGTCACCTCCGACAATGCAACACCCCCACACAGCGCTGCATTGGAGTGTCAGCTTAGACTATATGATTCCAAGTCCCAATGTGGGGCTTAAACCTGGAACGTCTGATTCAGAGGTGAGAATGCCACCATTGCACCAGGATAATCTTGCAGACTGTATGTTGCTTTGGGTGTCTGTTCCTGTGAGAATCAATGAATAAACAACAACTTTATGTGTGTTTTATCTCATTTTGTGTCTCTTTGATGCACATGTCAGAACAGGTACATCACCTAAATAGTTTGCTTCAAAACATCAGCCCCTCCTAAATTCTGGTAATTATTACTCTTGCACTCAATTATTTTAAGAATTTAAAGTTACAATTACAAGTTTTTAAATCCTGCAGGATCAGTGCAGACAATAAAACTGGGAGCTATTCTTGTGACTGTGTTTCGAGGCTGATGTGTCAGCCTGACCCGGAAGGTTGTCGGGATTTTGAGCTCATAGTCTAGGGCTCTAGGCTGACAGAGGGGTCATTTTTAGATAAAGCCCACAAAATGTACCGTCAATTCACGTTACAGTATATTCTATGAAGCACTTTGGTGAGACGTCTCGAAGACGTGATAAGGCACTATATCGAATGCAAAGATTATTATTATTAAGGCAGGGATAGAGAGGGCGACCCATTCCTGTCACATGGAAATTTACATGTGTTAGTGGCATACAGATGTGGAACCCCCAGTCTGGTTTGGATACATTTCAGTCATGCTGCCTTGTCAGAGAGCTTGCCTTTCGGAAAGAGCCATTGTGAGAGAGGTCCTATCTGCCGGTGTATTTCCTTTGGTCAGCCAGAAACCCATCACCATGCTGAAGAGTATCCAAACCAGACTGAGAATTCCACAAGTGTGTGCCACCCACACGCAGAATGTCCCTGTATCTGGAGTGGAATGCCCACTCTCTCCCTGCTTACCAAATTCTGGACCCTAGAGTGCGCATTATGTTGGTTTAATCAGCTAAAACCACATAGCCTTGCCATTCGAGGCACTGCCTCTCTTCACCACTTATCCAACGAGGACCACCATTAAATTCAAAGGGGGTCGACTGGCAAGAATTACTGCCCCATTGCCAACGAGCCAGGCAGGCGTTTGGCATTACACATGACTTCAAACCCCCAATGTGAGGCTTGAACCCACAGCCTGAATCAGAGGCAGACTGGCAGATCATGATGGAATACCACCATCACCAACAACAACAACAAATTACACTTACAAAGGGCCGTTCACGTCGAGAGGATGTCCCAAGGTGCTGGACAATAAGGGGTTTGCACCCAGAGAGCAGTGGAGGGCAAGGGTGTGTATGTGATGGGCAGATGACCAAAGGCACAATCGAAAAGGAAGATTTTGAGACAGGCCTTGAAGGAGGCTAGGGAGTGCTTTTTTTTATCATTACGACAGTTCCTAGTTTGGGTGTCTTCACTGCATCTGCGAGCCTTTTTTTAATTAGAGTTGTAAATTGATTCTTAAAATAAATTAAAGCGAGGCGAATGGTTACCTGATTTTGGTGAGGGGCTGACATTCTGAAGCTAACCATTTAGGTTCGCTTTACAGTATATTCTGTGAAGCGCTTTGAGACGTCTCAAATTCGTGGTAAGGCGCTATATCAAATGCAAGGATCACAGTGTTATTATTATTTACCTGTTGTGACAGGTCACGAGAGCAAGAGACTTAGAGAAAACTGATAAAGCACCTGGGGTCGATGGTAAAATCTCACAGTTAGTCACACCAACACACACACACACACCAGCCAGACTGGCTGAGGAGATATCACCATCTTGTAGCAAGTGCTGAGAGCTGAAAGCATTCTCAAAAGAAAAAGATGTGACCGTTTGCTCCATCTAGTGGCTGGCCTCAACTACTGGGCTACGAGGGCGATTGCTATATTATCACATAAAATTTTTTCAACGTAAAGAATCCGTGGCCCTCTTTTTTGGTTATAATAATAATCTGTACACTTATCACATCGTTGTGACGTCGCAAAGCACTTCATGGAATATAATGTGAAGTGTATTTTGAGACTGAATATTTTGTGGGCGAAACTTGGCAGCCAATGACCTCTGAGAGTGTCGTACAATTCAATGGTTTAATGGCCTCAATGCCAAAAGACCTCTTCCCATGAGTTAGTCGGACACCAGCTCTTTGATTTTTATTTTTGACTGACAGATGTATATCCCACGACCCAGCAACCCAAGGCCATATTCCCGAGACACTAACCCAACTTCTCAGCCTTGACCATTGAGAAAGAGATTGGGGAGTTCTTCGCAACATGAGGGTAAATCAATTAACAGCGACAACAAATTGCATTTATATAGTGCCTTTCATATTGGGAGGACGTCACAAGGTGCTGGATGATGAGAAGCTGCGAGGGTTGGGATCAAAGAGAGGTGGAGGGCAGGGGTGTGGAGGAGGTAAGTTGACCAAAGGTACGGTTCAAAAGGAAGGGCTTGAGATGGGCCTTGAAGGAGGCAAGGGAGGGGGTGAGGCTCAGGTGGAGTTCCAGTGGCTGAATAGCGGAGCAGGCAGAGCAAGGGACGGAGCAGGCCATTGCATGCAGACTAGAGGGAGTGGGCAGGTTGGTAAGTTTTAATAGGTCACAGAGCAAGACCATACAGGGCTTTAAAGGTGAGGACAAGGATCTTGAAATCGATCCTCTGGGGGATGGGGAGCCAATGTAGCCGGGTGAGGATGGGGATGATTGACTCAAGAAGCTTAGTTCAAATTAAATAGAGAATTGCCCCAGGTTCTTCCCCAACTACAACAGAGAGAATTCTAACTCAGTGCAGCGGGGAAAAGTTACTCCGAGGCTGAGGGAGCACAAGTCTCAATGAGTCCACAGCCAACCCCAGAGATTGTAGGATCATCAGAGAAGCCACTTGTATTGGGTTCCCTTTGAGACTTTTTCCAAGGCTAAATAGTAACACTGGTGATCAGCCGAGTTGCTGTTCTCTGCAGTAGTTTACAACCAGCAAAGTCTCAGAGGGAACCTTGTAGAGGTATATACAAGGGTAAAAAAGATAAAGAAACGAAACCTAGATGAATATTTGCGTCTAAACCAAGGCAGCAGGACAGAGTTCCTGGTTAGAATCACGTTCTTGGTTATAGTTGTAGGAGAGACACCAGGAGATCATTAATAGCTGGAATGAGTGACTTGGTAGGGAGACTGAGGTTTGGAAACTGGGTTTATTTAAGAAAGGGCGATTATGCTGTCGTGGGAAGGCAGTACAGTGGGTATTCTGGAAGAATAGACTCGCAGGGGCTGAATAGCATTCTTCACCTGACCCTCTTGTGACCTAGATACCCTGAATTTGAATTCTTTCTGAATCTGAATTAGGCACAAGGAAATTTGATTTCATTATCAACTAACTGACTAAACTATGAATGGCACATTCAACATGTTACAACACAACTTAGTGATACACGAAATAACAACACTATTGTGTTACTGTAAATAATACTAATGCAATGTTTTAATTGATTAATTCAAAAGGTTATAACGTTATAAAACTAAAGGAGATGACACAGAACATTTGCACTTAAAAAATTGTAGATATTCAGTCGCTCTGTACACAGCAGAGCAGTGTATACTCAATAATAATAGTAATAAATAATAACAATTTGGTCACACACTCCACGACTGTTTGCGGGACACTGTTGTGTGGATTTGACTGGCGCGTTTCGCCCACAAAATATTACAGTTAATTCGCTTTGACGACACGATAAGGCACAATAAATATCAAATGCAAGGATTAGTATCTTTGTGAGGTGGACAGGGACAGTAGTGTAGAGTGGGGGCAGTGTAGAGTGGACGTCGGTCTAGTCTCCAGCCTCTGGGTGCAGTGATCAGACTGCTCAGTGCCCAGTGAGGGGAGTGGATGTGAATGAGTTACAGCGAGGGTGTGTGAGTGAGATACGTGTGTGTGTGTGAGTGTGTGTGTGTTGGCTCTGCCCAGTTCCCCTGCCGGCTCAGCAGAGGGAGACAGACAGACAGACACAGACAGATAATGTGCACTGCATTGCACTTGCACTGCTCTGCTCTGCTCACACCGCACTGCAAATAAGCAATAGCAACAGCAACAGCCACAGCCACAACCTGCTGACAATGTCTGTGCTGCTGCTCGCCCTGACCCTGGTCAGCCTGACAGCTCCAGCACCAGCCACAGCCACAGCCACAGCGCAAGGAAAGGCCATCTCCAACCGGATTGTGACAGGTACAGGGCACAGGGGAGTGGGACAGGCACTTTGCAAAACAACCAACCCTGGCAAGCCAGCAAACTGCACCTTTCCCCCCCAGGGTTTAACTCCCCTAAGGGTTGAGAGGATCAAGCCTCTCCTCTTGCAAAGCAGTTGCCACTAAATAACGGTGCCCCATGTTGTGTCGTGAGTGAAAGTCTCCAGTTTCAGTGGATGGGCTATTTTACCAGCAGCTCTCTCTCTCTCTCTCTCTCTCACTCTAAAGCTATTTTAGACATCTTGATGGCATCTTAGACTGAGCTGGGAGTTTAATTTTAGCATCCCATCACACATGTGTGGTGGGGTGCTTATTTAAAGCTTCTCAAAACAGGTTTGCTTTATCTCTTTTATTTGGAGGGTGGGGGAGGAAAGGAAAAAAAATTGTTTCAACTCAATAAAAGTTGTGCAAAAAAAAAGTTAGTGATTCCCCCCCCCCCCCCACCTCTGCGACCTATCCATCCACCCCAGTGTTTGTTTGAGTGCTGAAAAGTGACTAAAAAAACAGTTCGGATCTGATTGACCCACAACTTTGAGCCACATTCCGTCTCCATAGAGATCTTTAGCCAGACCTGCCTCTTGCGATGTTTTAACACGTTATTATCCCCACTATCTGTCCCACAACAGAGCTGTTGCCCAAGGAACACTTTGCCCTGCTGGCTCAACACAACCGGCTGAGGACCAAGGTTCACCCCCCGGCTGCTAACATGCAGAAAATGGTGAGTCCAGAAACCAGGGAGAAACAGACAGAGAGACATAGAGACATAGGGAGATAGAGAGGCAGCTTCTCAAAGCTCCTGAAATTAACGTGAGGTTCCTCGCTCCACCTGTTTGCTGCTCTAGTTTTGCTAGTCAGACACTATATTGCGATAAGGGAGCTTAGTGTTCAAATACATGGCTCAAAGTAGGACCTGCAGCAAGGCGCATGGACGTTCATATACACTAGAGAATTGGCTTCCAATTCCAGGTTAACAGTTGGCATTGAGGGTCAAACAGTAAAACTCACAGACATGGCATAAATTGGTCATTTTCAATCTACGACTGTTTGTGGGACATTGCTGTGCGCAATTGGCTGCCACGTTCGCCCACAAATATACAGTCAATTCACTTTACAGTGTGTTCTGTGAAGCGCTTTGGGACGTCCTCCCGACGTGAAAAGCGCTATATCAAATGCAAGGATTATTATTTATTATTATTATCAGTCAGGAACATAGCATTTCATTTGACTTAAGCGAAGTCTGAGTTGCAGGCAACCTGTATAAAGTCCGATTTAATCAATAATCTACACTGCGCATATGTAATTCAATGCAGTTGGTAATTGTGCATGCGATGACGGGTCAAGGTGAAGTTACCGTGATTCAATGTGTCTTGACTCGTCGCTGCCTGTGCACTTACCGGCAAGTGTTGGAATTGCATTGAATCATTCAATTCAGCGCCTTGGGACGTCCTCCCGACATGAAAGGCGCTATACAAATGTGATCTTGTTGTTGTTGAATCACGGGAAACAAAGTCCTTCTGCGCATGTGGCGATGGATCAAGACTACGTTTCCAGCGATTCAATGCAGCCAGTAAGTGTGGGAGTAATGGAGGGTTGGGGAATGACGTTACGAGTTAGGAGGTGAATAATATGAGTAGTGCAAAGAAATCTAAGTGTTTTTGATAGGAAACTGAATAGGACTCTGAACGACTGTACGACTTAGACAATTATATGATTTATAAAGATAAGACTTATGCATGTTTACTGTAGTGAGTGGTGGTGAGTTTCACTGAAGGCAAGTTACACGTCAATGCAGTGCTGGGGGGTGGTTGTGTTGTCGGATAACACGTTCAACCGAGGTCCCTTCTGCTTGCTCAGGTGGATGTAAAAAATCTCATTTGAAAAAAAAGAAGGCAGTTTCTCTCTCCCAATGCCCTGGCCAACAACTCGCCCAAAATAAAATTGGTCACTTGCTCCATGGCTGCTTGTGGGACATTGTTATGTGTAAACTGGCTGCTGTGTTTGACTACAAACACAGTCACTATACTTTACGGTAAATTCCTGTGAAGTGATTTTAGATGTTTTCACTCTGTGATAAGGCAAAATGGAAGCTTTACTATTATTATTATTATTATTATTATTATTATTTAATAGTGCGTGGCAGTGAGATGCATCAAAGTTAATAAGAATCCTTGCAGGTCGATGCCTTATCACATCTTTGAGACGTCTCAAAAGCACTTCACAGGATAGACAGTAAAGTAATGAGGCTGTGTGTAGTTTGTGGGCAGCCAATTTTGCACAGAACAATGTTCAACAAACAGTGATGGAGTGACCAAACCCCTTCTTTTGAATAGTGCGATGGGATCTTTAATGTCCACCCGGACAGGTAGATGGGATCGCAGATTAACATCTCATCCGGAGGACGGCACCTCCCAACAAGGCAGCACACGTTCCAGCATTGCACTCGAGTGTCTGGTTAGACTAATATGAGTTCAAAGTCCAAAGTGGGGTTTCAATCCACAACCTTCTGTCTCAGACATGAGAGTGTTTGCAGTGAGCCACGCAGAGGAGAATAGAACAATGGCAGTGAATTATAAAATTGTAATTTAGTCAAGTGGTTCTGATGTCAAGTCCATTATTATGCATGAGTTCCGAAGTGTAGGTCTGTTTAGTGAGCTGGGTTAGTTTATCAAAGGAGGTAAATTGGTTCTTTCCATCAACTGGCCCTATTACACAGGGGTAGGTAGCTCTATACTTCAATCTGCAGCTAATTCAGGTGCCATATTCTCTCCGCTGTGGTCCTGTTATACACTAGACTGATGTCCTTCTGTTCCTGAACTGACTGCGAGCATTAGCATTGCTCTCCTGGTTACAGAGTAGGCGATTCAGGAGCAGACTAGAAGCAGCACAAGGGCATCATCACAATAATAATCCTTGCATTTGGTATAGTACCTTATCATGTTGTTGAGACGTCTCAAGGGCTTCTCAGTACTTTAAAGTAAATTGACTGTATATTTTATGGGCGAAACGCAACAGCAAATTGCACACAGTAGTGACCCATAAACAGTCGTAAATTGAGTGACCAAATTATTTAGTTAAAAAAAGTTTTGAAGAGATTATTAGCCCTCGAAAGAGATCCACCAGTCGACTAACAACCCAGTGCCTACTTACTCTAGGTAAACAGAGAGAGTGTGGAGTAAGGAAACTTGCCTAAGGTTTTGCCCCTCCCGGGAATCAAACCGGTGGGTCCTCTCACTTGCAAGGCGACTGCTCTAAGATCATAGTCTGATACTGCCCTCACCTGCGGTCCAGACTATTAGTTAATGGCAGAGGTTCAAACCAAGAAACCTCGGACTAGATCCAACTCTCCACCACTGGATAAGATTGATGTCTTTGACTGAGCATGTCGACCTTTCAATAAACCATTTGGAGAATAAAGCAAAGTCACCATGGTAACCAGTAGTTCAGTCCAGCTATACAACCAGTGAACTTGTCTCCAGGCAGGAGATCAACCGATTGTTTTGGAACCTCTTGATCAATCTCCGATCAGTGTTATACTGGGATCAATATCCCGGGAATATCATCTCTCTCTCTCTTTTCCCAAAATCCACTTCCAACCATTTATTGATCCCCTGCTATTCCGGAGCTCACACATAATCAGAAAAGGTCTCTTCCTTTTAATTATCACACTCACCTCTGGTTCAGAAGGTTGTGGGTTCACATCCAAAGTCAGGACCTGAGCTCTTAGCGGAGGCTAGAAATATCCGTATGGTGCTAGGGACTGTACTGTATTGTCAAAGGCCTTTCAGTTAATAATAATAGATATTGTGTCTTATCATGTCACCAAGACGTCTCAAAGTGCTTCGCAGGATGTACTTTCAAATGCAATGACTGTATATTTTATGGGCGAAACGCGGCAGCTAATTTGCACACAGCAGTGTCCCACAAACAGCCATGGAGTAAGTGACCAATTTTATTTGGGGATTTTTGGCCAGGACAGCGGGAACTCCCTTCTCTTTTCGATTAGTACCATGGCATCTTTAACATCCACCTATACAGGCAGACAGGACCTCGGTTTAACATCTCATCCAAAGGATGGCACCTCCAACAATGTAGCACTCCCCAGCACTGCATTGGAGTGTCAGCTTAGGCTATGTGATTCCAAGTCCTGATGTGCGGTTTGAACCCACAGCCTTGTGACCCTGAGGCGAGAGCGCTACCACTGAACCAGGCTGACACACACAATGCAATAAAAATTCTTTCTTCTTTGCATTTCTGTGACCCAACAGTGTATGGTGGTTGGGAGAAATGGGCAGTCTATAGAGAACCATTCAGGCAGCATTAATCTCCCGCTATCCCTCCCCACAGTGTTAAGCAGCCTTGAGATGCTAATAGTTCCCACAAGGATATTTTTTCAATATTTGGTTCAGTGAAACTAAAGCTATGACTTATTATAACAGGAGAACAAAAGCATAGGTGGGCACTGCATTCTTTCGTAAAGTGTCGTTGAATTTTTTTCTCCTTGAATGTTGACAGTGGAGTGTGATTTGTGTGTGCAGCAGTGCCTGATAGGGCAAGCAAAATACCAAGAGTCTTGTGTGTATGTGTGTGTGTGGGCGGGGGGTGGGGTGGGGTGGGGGGGAGGTGGAAGGACACAGATGTGCCTTGCAGCAACAGAGCAATAGGCCAGTATTTCAGCGTCAGAATCTTGAGAGGTGATCGTATCACGTGAGCAATGACAGCAGAGCCCTTCGCAAAATAATTATATTTAAAAAAAAATTAGCACCTCCTGGACTTCAATTGAATTCAGCACTAAATGTGATTCCCTCTTGAATTAGCAGACAGTTTGCCTCCCCTATTTCACTGGCTAGTCTATTCGACGTGTTCGTCGTGCAAACTGATTCAATCTGAACTCAATTCAGCTTTTCTCTTCTGAGTTTAAGTCTGATTGGCGGATCAACAAGCTTAATAATATAATATACCTTGTATTTGATATAGGGTTTTATCACATTGTTCAGACGGCTCAAAGCTCTTCACAGAATACATTGTAAATAGATTGACTGTGTATTTTGTGGGCAAAACGCAGCAGCCAATAGCGCACAGCAGGGTCCCAAAACAGTCTTGGATTGAGTGACCAAATCATAAATTTTTTTTGAAGGGATTATTACCCGTAGAAAGCGATCCGCCAATCTACCAACAACCCGGTGCCCACTTATTGCTAGGTAAACAGAGGCGTGTCGAGTAAAGAAACTTGCTTAAGGTTTCGCCCTGTCTGGGAATTGAACCCTCTCTCTTGCGAGGCGAGTGCTCTAACCACTACATTACAGGACTCCTTTTAGAGGAACAGAGGAGGCGGGACGGATGAAGCTGTGGTAAGACTGGAGATGCTGGTGCTTTCAGCCTCTATCCTGGAATATTCAGCCTCTAACCCAGTACCTTCAGATCTTTCACTTTACAGGGAGCTCCAGCAAGTTTCTGAAAGAAGATGTATTTGGCAAAATGCTCACATTCACAAACTTGCTTGAGCTCCTGGTAAAGTCCCATTGCTCCCAGTAGCTAGTTGGTAACTGAGTCCCCACCCATTGGCACTCCCTTGTTCCCTCTACACCTCCGTTTTAAATCCCATCTAATCACTGACCTCCCTGACCACACACACCATCACCTCCCCCTTCCCCACCGTTCAGTGTCTGTCCCTATGAAACGCTCCAAGACCTTATTCTCTGTGAAGGGTGTTACATTAAC